CCCCCCCTTCCCCCCCCCCTTATGTTGCTGTTGTTGTTTGTTTTCATCGCCAACTGTTTGCCGCATATGTCTTTCTCGTTTGTCTTTTTTTTTTTCTGCAGTTTGAAGTCAAACAGTAAAAGATAAAATAAAAGACGGAAAACAGGGGAAAGAGGGTGGGGGGAGGGGGGGGGCGGGGAGGAGGGAGAGGGGGAAGGGGACAAGAAAAGAATGATTCTTGACGTGATAGTCGAACGCTCCACCTTGTGGTAAATGCTTAGGTAGGTCTCAGATAACACAGTCTTCTTTTTCCCTTCCTTTTTTTTTTTGGAACTGTCGTTTTGAAATATCCAGAAAAAAAAAAATAAAAAAATAAAAAGAAAAAAAGAAATATCCAGAGATAGGTAATGATGACATGTAAACTAAAACATACACGTATTATCGTATGATTATTTGTCGAACTTACACGTGCCAAAACATTGAACTATCTTTGAAGCTTCTCGGAGACTTCTTCGCTAGTTGGGTGCGTGTTCGATGAAATCGGAAACCGATCGGTGGCCAATCATCAACCAACCCATCACCCAATCATCATCAACCAACCCACCACCCATCACCCATCACCCAATCAATCAGCTAATCAGTCGCTCAACCAACAGAGATCAATCGAGCCATCATCACTATGAATCGATCACTCAAGTAACTAATCAATATAGGTCAATCAATCCACCAACCAATCAATGAACCGATCAATCACTCATCCAATCCAGTCAACAACCAATCACGCATTGGCCGTCGCTGGCTCGTTGGCTAGGCGCGAGGTCCCGTACAAGTACTCCTCGAATCGCTGTACTTCGCCACGGGAGCCGTAACAGACTTGTGTTCTGTCGTCGATGTTCTCGATGACGATGTCTGAGACGGAGTTGAAGCCATTGCTGCTGTAGCCGCCAGCTTTCTCAACAAGCATTCCAAGAGGAGCGACCTCGAACAGAAGACGAAGCTTCGCCTTTGCGCTTTGAGATGTCACGTTGGAGAAAACTCCCTTCTCCTTAACAATAATCTGAGCAAGATGATTAAAAACAACAACAACAGCAGATGATTAAAAACAACAACAACAGCAAAGACGAGTTGTAACATGTCAAGACATGCATACATGCATGCACCCATTCCCATGAACACGAAAGATAACATCTAAACAGAGAAAACAGCCATGTGTAAGTGCAGTAAATGCCATAATAATAATTAAAAAAAAAAAAAAAAAAACAAGAGAAGACGAGATGAACAATCTTAGGAGGTGGAGGACAGAAGGAAGAAGAAGAAGAAGAAGAGGAAGAAGAAGAAGAAGCTTCTTCTCTAGAAGAGAGAGAAAGCAGCCATGTGTACATAGCAGCAAATGCCGTACCAAAAAAACACAAGAGCAGACGAGATGATCTTCGGAGGAGGAGGAGAGGGCGGAAGAAGAAGAAAAATCCTCTTCTCTGTAATAATAATAATAATAATAGGAAGAAGAAGAAGAAGAAGAAGAAGAAGAAGAAGAAGAAGAAGAAGAAGAAGAACCCTCTTCTCTTGCTCCTCCTACTACTATCGAGTCAGACATGCATACATCCATCCATTCTCGTGACACGAAAGCTAACATCTAGACAGAGAAACCAGCAATTTGTACATGCGTTAAATGCTGCATGGAAAAAATACAAGGGCAGACAAGATGAACAATCTTAGGGGGTGAAGGAGGAGAAAGAGAAGGAGGAGGAGGAGGAGGAAGAGGAAGAAGAAGAAGAAGAAGAAGAAGAAGAAGAAGAAGACGAAGAAGAAGAAGAAGAAGAAGAAGAAGAAGAATCCTCTTCTCCTTCTCTTCTCCTCCCCCTCGTCCTCCTCGTCATGCTCGTCCTTCATCCCTGCTCCTCCTCCTCCTCCTTCCTCCTGTTCCTTCTTCACTTTCTCAGGAGGAGCCGCTTTCTTGGTCTGCTTCTCCTACCTCCAACTCCCTCCCCTTCCTGTCCTTCTCGTCTCCTAAGTCTTCTCTTCCCTTATCCTTCCGTCATCGTCCCTCCTTCCTCCTACCTCTCTCCTCCTCCCTTTGTCGTCGTCCTAGCCTCCTCCCACGGTCTTTCTCTCTCCCTCCTCCTCCTCCCTCTCTTCTCCCCGGTCTGTGTTTATCCTCCATTTGTCCCTCCCCCTCCTTCGTTCCTTCTTCCTCCTCCCTTGCCCTACATCACGCCTCCATCCCTTTCCTTCTCGTTCCTCATCCTTCCCGCCTCTCTTCTTCTTCTCCGTTCTCCTTCTTTCTCCTTCTTCTTTCTCCTTCTTCTTTCTCCTTCTTTCTCCTTCTTCTTTCTCCTTCTTTCTCCTTCTTTCTCCTTCTTTCTTCCTTTTCTTTCTTCCTTTTCTTTCTTCTTCTTTCTCCTTCTTCTTTCTTCTTCTTCTCCAGGGGGTTATGGCCACCTGTAACCTCTTCTTTTTTTCATGAAGATGTGGTTGGTCGTGAACATGCCCATGTTTTGGGAACCCATGTTTTTTCCCAAATTCATTGAAAAACAAAGTCATGAATGAAAATGAAATGCGCTTACCTGGTTGACATCTGGCACCATTCCTCCAGTGTACCGCAGGGTGTACTTCTCCCCTACCCAGTAATTGACCAGCTGTCGAGTCAAGAAAGCCAAAAAAAACACCCAACCAAGCATCAGTCATCAGTAATCCTGGTCATGTCACCGCTCACTCTAGTTTAGCCCCAAAGTTCATACTGCCTACCTATTTCCATTTAAATTAGGGGAAACCTAGTCGTGCAGTCCTGAAAAAAGCTCGTATTTGGCCCTGCGCCCTCAGAAAAGCGGCTCTGTGCATTTTGGTCTTACCGATGGCAGTGCAAATTGTCCGTGTACCAACGCTCCCGTTGGGTCCGGTGGGAGCACCCTCTCTCTCTCTCTCTCTCTCTCTCTCTCTCTCTCTCTCTCTCTCTCTCTCTCTCTCTCTCTCTCTCTCTCTGTGTTTTGATGTGTCTGAGTCATGCTGTCTATATCTTTGTTTCTTCCTCTCCTCTCGAGTATTTCCTGTATGTTGTCCGCTTTGTGTGTGCCGTGGCCTTATTCTCCTCAGTGTCGTAGCGTAGCACCTTCGAGATGTGCCAAATAGTTAGTGCGTGCTTCTTCGAGGTGCCTGCAACACTACTATCATCTTCACCTGAATAGAGCGCGGGGTAATTATCCCTGTGTCAAGACTGTTGCCCAAATACCACCATAATGACAGGGTGTTCTATTCGGGTGAAGAGGGTAGGGGCGCTTCTGTATTCAGGATGAGCCTTCCCTGGTGGTGGCTGACGTTTATGAAAGCGACTCCCTGAGGGCGTACTCACACTAGCACGTTTGCAAATGTATCTGACCGCAATTAGGGATGCGCCTGGATGCATCTGACTGCAATCGCGTCCAGAGCTGAGTCGAAAAAGTCCCAATGTGAGTATCCCCTGACTCTTGGTGGTGGTGTGAACCCCTATAGTCTGTGGAGTCCTACTTGTGGTGTGAGTAAGGGCCTCACTCCCCCACTCACCACAGGGCGTACTCACACTAGCACGTTTGCAAATGTATCTGACCGCAATTAGGGATGCGCCTGGATGCATCTGACTGCAATCACATCCAGAGCCATCTTTTGGTGAGCAGCTTCGCTACTCGGCCACTCACCCTGGCCCTTGTGTCAGAAGTAGGTTTTTCCTCCGTGGTGACACGGCCGTGGTGAGTACTCACCCCAGTTCCCTATTTTCCCACCTGCAACCGCGGGGTTGTGGTGCCTCCTCTCTTTGCTGTTGTTGTTTGTTACTGAAGTCTTGTCTCGGTTTTGGCAATAAAGTGCGCGTCTTTCTATCTTTCTGTTGCCTGTCATCATTATCGAGTGTGTCTTGTCGATTCAGTGTGCTGTTCGCCTTGTGAGAAACTTGCATCGTAGTCGATCACCTCGTTCGTCTCTCACTCTTCATTGTGCCTCCTCTGGACCGCCCACCAAAAGTGGTACGTAACTCACCACCCCAGCCGGTCCCGGGTGGCCGCGGGCTTGTCATGTAGCACTCACCCCTGTGGTGAGTCCTTGGGTGTGGTGCGTGGTGCAGCGAGGCGGCGTTTTGATGAGAAAAGGCCTGCGGCGAGTACTCACCACAGGAAATCGAGTTTTGGTGACTGCTCTGTCTAGGCCTTTTCTCATCAAAATGCATCTGGATATCGCCATGGTCTTCATACGTTCAAAATGCTTGATCAATCCGAAGTTACCAGGTCTAAGGCACAGTCTTAGATACCTGTCGAATGTTGAGTGGTCCCCTCTGTCCATCTGCCTCGCTGCTCGCCTGCCTGTTTGCTGGACTGTGTGCCTGGCCGTTACTTGGCTTGATGCTTTGTATCCTTCCGGCCTACCCACCTACCCCCTTCCCACCCACCTACTCCCCTGCCCACCCACCCTTGGCTATCCTGCTGATTGCTTGTGTTGTCATCCTCCTGGCTGTCCACGCTTGCACCAGGAGTTGAAGTACACAGTACTACACACTATGCCTCAAAGCATCAATATGGGGATTCTGCAGACTGTGGACGATTCAGCCTTCAGATGAAAGGGAGAGAGAGTCCGACAAAACAGTCTGTCAGCTTTGTGCAGGGGCCGTGCTAATCTTCTTTGTCTAGTTCCAATTTCAACGGATGTCCCGAAGGGCTCAAAACAGTCTGTCACTACCCCTTTTGTCCTTTCTTTTCTGACTCATCCCATAAATCCTGTTTTTGCTACCGCAGTAACCCCACCCCCCGGCGCTCTGTGCTTGTTCTTATGGCCTGCCCACCTACCCTATCCTGTTTTGCTGCACATTTTGGCGAAGACGAATATGAACATGGAAAATCAGATGACAATTGGGTAATCAAGATTTAGGGGCTTGATCATGAGCCTACCCGCACCACTCACCGAATGTGAAAAGGACAAAAGCTATGGTGGGTGGATCTCCTCGTCACCTCGTTTCTCCGAACTCCGACCTCCTCTTTCAACCTTCAGCCAAATATAGGTGCTCCATTTGGCAACTTGGTGTCGCTTAGTATTGCGGCAAGGCCCTATGTCGGGTGGATGCATGGCGGTCCTGGCTCGGCTACCTTCTTCCCCCGAACATAACGCATATGCGTTGTATTCGAGTTTCAAATTTTGAAAAAAAAAAAAAAACAAATAGAACACATATGCGTTGTATTCGAAATTTAGGGCTATTCGAATAGAACGCATGTGCGTTGCATGCAAATAGAGCGCACCCCCTACGTGTTGTATTCGTTTACAACGCATATGCATTATGTTCGGGGGAAGAAGGTAGTCGTAGTGTGACGAGTGCTGGTCTGGACAGGGGGGGGAATGGGTCATACAATGTTCAAAGCAGGGATTGATATTCCCAACAGATGAAGGTCGGCGACGAGGGCTTAGGATCGAGTCACCAAACTTGTTTGTAGGTGATTTGTGGAATGGACGGAGGTAGGCGAGGTGCTGCCACATGTTTACATGATTCCGGTGATGGGTGGACTGATTGGTTGGGGTTTGTGTGCGCCTCTCTGAAACCACCAGTACTTGTCGGCGTCCTTTTGCCGAAGCGAATTCCCCAAATGTACCCAAAAAAAAGGGAACCGGCACATTTTCTTTCTTGGCTGGCACCGCCTGGCGCCTGCCATTTTCGCTGCGGAAGGCCATTCCCCAAAAGTCGCAGCACGTTCACGGCCACGTCGCTGAAGAATGGCTAGGAAAAGTACTGGTGGTTTAATCATGATTTTGCATTGTACCAGGAGAAGTTGTGATTTCACTTTCTTGGGTGTGAATAGAGGACATGTTTTTCTTCTTCTTCTTCTTCTTCTTTCGCCCCCCCCCCAACCAACACAGCCCCCTTCTGGTATAACATCAGTGTCTCAGAAATATATAGTAGCTACAGTCAGCTGTAGTCAAACTCACAGGTGATGCTCCCCACCAATAGATGGAGCCTCGGCCCCGGGTGGTAGTGGTGTCTGCTCTTATCAGCACCATTATCACCGGTGGGGGTGTTTAAAAAAAAAAAAAAAAAAAGCTGTAGTCAAAGTCAAAACAACAGAAGCCAGGAATATAAAGGAAATATGGCGTCACATAAAAGAATTTAATAAAAGTTGGCTTGGAAATGACCAGGGTGGGAGGATGGGGAAGGTAATCTGGGAAGGAGGTTCCTTACAGGCTCGAGCTTCACTGAAGAAGAACTATCGACTGATCTTTAATGACTGGACCACGGTAGATCCTTCGATTCCCTTACGACCCTTCTCTGAATTTCCTGATTTCTTTCCCCCCCCAAATAATTGTCTTGTGCCAGTGTCTTGGTTTGGTTAGACAATGWGATTTCTGTTTGAAAACTAGTGATGTGCTTACTAGTCACGAGGATCTGGCGCCCTGTAAGGGTGAAGAGGCACTTAACTAAGTTCCTGTTCAGCAAAAGTTCTTCATCATCATCATCATCATCATCATCATCATCGTTATCCTTTTCATCATAAGGGATGCTGAGCCCGGTTCTCAGCAATTTTGGTTTGGTTACTCCGGGTAGATTGTGAGGACCCCGGCCTCAATCTTCGTATTGGTAATATCAGCCTTGGGCACTGGGCCCTTTTTTTTTTTTCTCTTTTCTGGCACGGCTAGGTCGACAGGGGGTGGATTACATTAACAAGGGTTCAACTTTGGCAAAAAGTCCAGATACCACTTCTCTAAGTGCTCCTTGTGTTGAGCGTACCCTATGAAAGTCAACCGGCAGAGTGAAACAACCGGGCAAGTGGGACCTTGCCCTTCGTTATGAGCTTTCGGGTGCAAGGCAGGAATTGCTGGGGTTGGGGGGCGGCGAGGGGGAGGCGATTGAGCTTTGGAAAGAGGAGGGTGATGGGACTGCACCTTCATGTAGCTGGGTTGATCGAAGGTGGTGCGAAGATTGCCTAGCGAGGAGAGTGTGCCCTCCTTGGTCTCAGTCATTGGCTGCAAGGGGGGAACCGCTAGGTTTGGGGGGGCAAGGGGAGGGGGAGCGAAGGGGGAGGAGATTGAGAATTGGAACGAGGAGGGGTGATGGGACTGTACCTTTTCGTAGTTGGGGTTATCGAAGGTGGCACGAAGATTGCCTGGGGAGAAGAGCTTCCCCTCCTTGATCTCAGTCGTTTCCTTCACGTGGATCCATTTACCTGAAGAAAAAAAAAAGAAAAAGCGAAAAGACACCGACGCAGCAAAAAGAAAGCAAGGAAAAAGGAGAAAGTGCAATTAGACAAATCACAGAAAAGGATGTTATGGCCGCAGAAAAAAACAGTACAGAGAAGGTCAGCAGCAGTTTCCCCTCTTTTTTCTTGAGAATTTCAGTTCTGCCCCTACAATATGTGATGATTTGCACAACCCCCCCTTGCAATTTCTGATGTTTGCAGCATGCTCTTATGACACTGGGTAGAGTTTGGGGAATATCCATCATGTCATCAGGACCCGAATTCTTTTCCACGTGTCCCTGTCAGCTTTGTTAGATGCCAGCGCCCCCCCGGAAAAAAAAAAAAAAAAGCTTTGTCAGATGCCTCGGTACTTCTGGCCATTAGGTACCAAGGTGCGCGCACTGGAGGCCCAGGAACACGGTTGCAAACTGCCTGCACATCTGACACGGGCCTGTGAGCAAAGTTGCAGGCGTCACCAGGGCATGCACAAATACCAGGAAAATTACAGAGGCATCATGCAAATTATTGCAAATTATGGGTGCAAATTACGAATTTGAAATGTCAAATTTCCCTTGTCTTTTCTGTACAGACACTCAGCTTAGTGGGCAGCCTACTATCCAGAGGGAGGGGAAACCCTTGGCCTTCAGGTCTGCCTCCCCACCATGAGGTTCCAATGGCACTCAATCTTTTTTTTTTTTTTTTTTTTTCTGAGGACTTTTTCTTTTTTTAATCCCTTTTTTCTTAAGAAAGCTCCATCTATTGGTGGGGAGCAACACCTGCTGGAAACCGGGTCCAGCGTCCCATAGATACAACCATATCCTCTCAATGTGGCACAAACTGGGAACCGGGCCCAGCGTCCCATACGGAAAGTCGTCAGAAAATTTCATGACAGTGAGGCAAAAACTACTAGAAAAGTCCGATATCTAGACATTCTTTTTTCGCCAACTCAAACAGCAATTAGTGGAAGTCCTTCAAATGCTCAGAACCCCTGGAAGCCCCCCTCGAAAAACACTCTAAAATTCTCTAATACTGTCTTCTTACTCTGCCGAGCTTTCTCAGGCCTCATACCGGAGCATGAGGCCTGGTAGAGAGATATGGGGATGCTTTGGGGTGGGCATTCCACGGGACATCCAAGGGTTGCTGCCGGGATGACGCTGGTCGGAGCTGGGGTGAGTCGTGTTGCCCTGTAACCCAGCTAGACGTGGGGGTGGGAGACCTGGAAGAGCTCGGCAGGGAGTAAGACAGTTTTGGAGGACTTTGGAAGGGTTTGTGAGGAATTTCAACGTTTCTTTGGAACATTTGCAAGACCGCTGCGGCCTGTTTTCATGTTCCTTTACTGTAATGTGTTCTTACGCATCTTAAAAGAGAATAAGGGGTTGGGAGAAGGAAATGGTGGGATATCACGCGTCCTACTAGTGAGGGGCTAGCTGGTAGGATGGGAGTATGGCACAGCAGCAGCAGAGATGGTGACTTTGCTGCAGTTAGTCTTGCCGGAGTGAGGTGAAGAGGTCTGAGGGGGGCTTCTCTGACTCGATTTCTGAATTTGTGTTGTAGTCAAAAATTCCTTAATCTGGCCCTAATTTCTTCGCCAGTTTCGAGATGTTTCTGGATACTTTTGGTAGTCTTGAGAATTCTTTAGGACCCTGGGTAATCCTTGCAAAACAGTCTAGGTTTCCTTGATGCTGTTTACTCATGGATCTGTTGGTTTTCGATGCCAGAACGACGCTGGCCGGTGCTGGGGGATTACCCTGTATCCTGTTAACAGCAGGAGCGTGAGGCCTGGTAGAGAGATCTGGGGATGCTTTGGGCCGGGCATTCCAAGGAAAACCAAGGGTTGCTGTCGGGACGACACTGGCCGGAGCTGGGGTGAGTCGTCTATCTTTTGGTGGAGAGCACCACCTGCTCGGTTGCCCAGCTTAGTGGGCCCGTATATATAACAAGATAGGACCAAGCATCCAGGCCATCAACAGCATTGGTTGCTTCTTCCCAGAAAGAGGATTGCCAGTGATTGACTAGCAACCGAGAGGAATAATAACGAGCCTCTTCCGAGGGCGGATCCGTTCCATCTCCCTCCAGATTGACATTCCATTTCAAGCTGATTTGACCATTGCAGGTCAAGCAGAGCCGAAGCAGGGGGCGGGAAGGGGTCTCGGAAGCAAGGAGTCTGACGGAAAGGCCTGAAAGGGGTAAATTATGTCCACTACTTGATCATCACAGCCAGAGTTCCTTTCTCATTTGTCGCAGTCTCAGTCAATTCCCCTTCTGGGTTCTTCCCCCCCCCCCCCCGGCTGCCCTCCCCGAAGCCAGTCCTTACACAGAGATGCTAGGTTGTTTTGTGGAAGTCAACCGCCAGGCCCAGACCTGTGAGAGAAGTCAAAGCCAAAGAGTTGAAGGACACCCGATGTGGATCCAAGGGCCGTAGATCTGCCGACGAGTGTTCAGCCTTGGCTCAGGGACAGGAGCATCAGGAGCCCCGGGCCTAGCACTCTGTGTTTCCGGCCATCAACCCTCTGAGTCTGCGGTTCAGAAGAGAGAATTCAGGGAAGTGGGCCGTGGGCTGTGGGGCTAGGTCTCTTTTTTTCCCTTCTGAAAAAGCTCCGATCTATTCGTGGGGAGCAGCACATGCTCGGAACCGGGCCCAGCGTCCCCTTATGAAAATTACATCATATTGGAACATTTGGGATTTGGCACCTTTGGCACCTTTGGCACCTTTGGAATCATTGGGAATCCTCCCCCTTCCAGCATTGATCACCCTGGAACATTTGGCACATTTAGCACCTTTGAAACATTTGGCACATTTAGCACCTTTGAAACATTTGGCACATTTAGCACCTTTGAAACATTTGGCACAT